TGTATAACACCCAAATGTATTTTTTTTAATTGCAGTGATAGCTCTACGACAAGGAAGTTGCATGAGGGAATAGTTGTTGGTTTGACTGAGATGCTCAATGAACATAACGTATTGGTCAAATCCTTTCGACTTGCTAAAGAGAAAATTGACATGGTTAGTGCACCAAATGTGAGGCTTAGGCTTATCGGAAAGCGATACGGCGATGCACGTACCTACAATTTACCGTCAATGTCAGAGGTGGCAGCTTTGGTCGTGGGTGATTTTGATGAATCATTGGGTGAGAGGGACAATTTGGTTGAAAATCAATCGGGAGCGCTTCAAAGGATAAATGAGTTAAACCCGACCTATTTTGGTCTTCAGTACTCGTTATTGTTTCCCTATGGAGAAGACGGGTATCGTGAGGATACTTTGTTGTCCAAAAGTGATGGGTTTTCTATTCTTGGGAGACAAAGAGTCGGTGTTAGAGAGTTTCTTGCATTCCGTGTCCAAGAGCGTTTGAATAATCATTCAACTCTTCTCAAGGCGAAGAGACATTTTCAGCAGTTCATTATTGACGGCTATACTTTGGTGGAGTCTGCAAGATTGAAATTTGTGAGGACTCATCAAAAACAACTTCGTTGCGAGATGTATAATGGTTTGAGTGATGCTTTCTTGCGTGGTGAGAACGATTCACGCACCAGGGAAAGAGCATTGTTTTGCCTCCAACTTTCACTGGCGGGGCACGATATATGATACAAAATTATCAGGATGCTATGGCCATATGCAGGTGGGCGGGTTATCCAGATTTGTTTATTACTTTTACATGTAACCTGAGATGGCCTGAGATTGATCATTATCTCCATTCGAGAAATTTAAAACCAGAAGATCGTCCGGATGTAGTGAGTCGGGTGTTCAAGATAAAGCTCGATGGCTTGATTCAGGATTTGCGAAATAAGAAGTCATTTGGTAGTGTCGGGGGAGGTAGTGTTGTCAACTTTTATTTTTCTTTTCTTACTTAAATGAAAGATTTTAAGAAATTCTCTTATGCCTTTACAGTGGTTTACACGATTGAGTTTCAGAAGCGTGGGTTGCCTCATGCCCATATTTTGTTGTGGTTACCTGTGGAGGACAAGTTGCCTTCACCCAAAGATATTGATAGGGTGATATCTGCTGAAATTCCGGATGTTAGCCTTGATCCATTGTACTATGTTGTTGTTAGGGATTTTATGATGCATGGTCCTTGCGGTGAGGCAGTCAAGTTTGCACCCTGCATGGTTGATGGTAGGTGTACCAAACACTTTCCCAAAAAGTGGGGTGCTGAAACATCGGTCGACGACGACGGTTACCCTGTGTATAAATGTGGTAGTAGCGGTCAAGTGATCAGGAAGAACAATGTGGATTTGGACAATAGGTTTGTTGTTCCGCACAACCGATATTTGTTCATGAAATATGGTGCACATATGAATGTTGAGTGGTGTAACCAGTCGAGGTCAATCAAGTATTTGTTTAAGTACATCAACAAGGGACGTGATCGAGTAACAACTGCCTTTTACAAGACTGTGGACGGTGATATGCAGAATAAGCCAATTGACGAGATTCAAATGTATTATGATTGTAGATACATTTCCCCGTGCGAGGCTGCTTGGAGGGTGTTTGGTTTTGAGATTCAGTACAAAAACCTGGCAGTGAAGCGTTTGAGTTTTCACTTGCCCCAGGAACAATCTGTCATTTTTCATGATGACCAACCCCTCGACTTGGTGGTTAATTCAACATCTGTTAAGGATAGTATATTCACTGCATGGATGGGGGCCGATAAAAGATACCCTGAGGCGAGATCTTTGATGTATACCGAGTTTCCTCAGAAGTTTGTTTAGAAGAAAAATAAAAGGGAGTGGACTCCAAGAAAAAGGCTTTCGCTATTGGTAGCGGGAAATCTTATTACATTAGATGCCTCTTAAATCACATTCGTGGTGTGATGCGTCACGAAGATTTAAGAACCGTCGATGGAGTAACATATGTTTCATTTCGTGAGGCATGTTATGCGTTGGGATTATTGGATGATGATAAGGAATTCATCGATGCTTTCAAGGAAGCTAGCTTTTTCTCTACGGGCTTTTATATGAGGATTCTATTTGTTATTTTGTTGTGGACGGAGTCGATGGCTCGTCCGGAGTTTGTTTGGCAACATTGTTGGAGGTTCATGGCGGATGACATACAACACATGCGGAGGCGATTGTTGCAACATCCAGGTTACATCTTTCAGAAAGTGAATTGTTTGCTAACATTAATACGTTTTGCTGTTGTTTATCATTATTATATTTTAAAATGTTAACTTTGAATATATGTTTTCTCTCTTACAGAACTGATTCTGTCTGATGACCAATTGGAGAAATTTTCTTTGGAAGAATTAGAAAAATTGTTACAAGGTCGGGGAAAGAGTTTGCGGGATTACCCTGCAATGCGAACGGTTAAGCTTGATTCACTACTTTCTTCTAATGACAGAATGATATATGAAGAGTTGAGTTGGGATCACAACCTAATGACCTAAGAGCACATAACATTGTTTCGTTCGCTTACGGATGAGCAACTACGTGTTTATGAAACTATAATGCATTCTGTTCAAGAAGAAATTGGTGGTGTTTTCTTTGTGTACAGATATGGTGGATCGGGGGAAACTTTTGTATGGAAGACACTTTTTGCTGCCATTAGGTCACAAGGTGAGATTGTCCTGAATGTTGCATCCCTGCTTCTTCCTGGTGGACGCACCGCACATTCTCGATTTGCAATCCCAATTAGTTTAAATGAAGACTCTACGTGTAATATCAAGCAGGGTAGTCCTCTTGTTAGACTTATTGTGCGGTGCAAACTCATTATTTGGGATGAAGCTCCCATGTTGCACAAATTTTGTTTCGAGGCATTAGACCGCAGTATGAGGGACATAATGCAATTTCACAAACCAAATAGTGGTGCGCTGCCGTACGGGGGAAAAACTGTTGTTTTCGGTGGTGACTTTCGCCAGGTGCTGCCAGTGATACCTAATGGAAGCAGACAAGATGTTGTTAATGCGACGATCAATTTGTCGTGTTTGTGGTCCGAATGCACCGTTCTTCATTTGACCAAAAACATGCGTCTGCAAAATTTGACGAATGAAACAGAGTCTTATGATTTGAAGATTTTTTTTGAGTGGATTGCGAGTATTGGTGACGGTGTTTTGCGTGAAATAAATGATGGTTCTGTTTCAATTGATATACCTGAGGATCTTCTGATTCACAACAATGGTGACCCTGTGACTGCTATTGTGGAAAGCATTTTCCCAGAGTATGTTGCATCCACACATGACATTAGTTGTTTGCGTGATCGTGCCATACTAGCACCAACCTTAGCTGTCGTTGAATCTGTTAATGATTATATGTTGGGTCTCAACGTCAGCAAGGTTTCCAGGACGTATCTTAGTTCTGACAGCGTGTCAAAGGTGGATTCTACTACAGATTTAATGGCAGAACTTCACACTCCGGAATTCCCAAACAACATTAAATTGTCTGGTGTACCGAATCACAAGTTAAAGTTAAAGGTTGAGACCCCGGTCATGCTTCTGGGAAATATAGACCATTCAATGGGGTTGTGCAATGGAACTTGCCTCATTCTAACGAAGCTGTGTGATCACGTTTTGGAGGGGAAGATTTTGACAGGTGTAAGTGGTGGACAGAAAGTTTTGATTCCTAGATTGTCCTTGACCCTCTCGGATGCGAACTTGCCATTTAGATTTCAGAGGCGACAATATCCAATTATGATTTCATATGCCATGACTATAAATAAAAATCAAGGGCAATCGTTGTCCCGTGTGGGGTTGTTCTTAAAGAAACCGGTGTTTACGCATGGACAACTGTATGTTGCAGTGTCAAGAGTGACCAATAGGCGTGGTTTGAAAATACTTATATGCAATGAGAGTGGTACAACGTCTAACATCACTAAGAATGATGTTTATAACGAAGTGTTCAATAACGTTTAACGTTGTATTGAATTCTGTTTTTAAGAGAAAGTGTGTTCTATTGTGCATTTTTTGATGTAAAGTTTCGCATTATGTATGAATGCGTAGGATTTCATAAATTGAGAATTGTGTACGTTAATGGAAACCGTAATTAAATACGTAATTTTTATTGAGTAAAAATATTTTTGTGTACGAGCGGTGGAAAACTTTTTTGATGTGGAAAAAATAAATTAGGTATCGCAGTGGTGATTTACTAGTATATAGTAGAAGTTCCATTATCCATTAAAGTAAAAGGGGAGATTAAAAACACTGACATATAGATGTGTGACCAGTGGAGGACCTAGGGAGGGGCCTAGGGGGGCAAGTGCCCCCGCTTTCGATCAGGAATTTCACTACTAGTACTTAGAGTAAAATCAATGCCCCCGCTTGTGGTCAGAATTTCACTACTACTAGTTTGGGTAAAATTAGTGCCCCCAACCCGTACAAAAAATTATCAATATTAGATAATTAAGATACTAAAATGTTACAGTTATATAAATTAAAAGTTAATACACAATATTTAAATTTGAGCTGAATTAAAATAAAAAATCTCAAAAAAGGAGAAGAAAATAGTTAAGGTTTTTTTTTCTTTTGATAGAAAATAGTTAAGGGTTGAAAACCCAAAAAGTTAAAATGTAAACCGTAACCAAATTAATGTGCGGCCATCTTAAAGTAATCTAAAACAAGTAAAAGTTTAAAAATGAAATTCACTAATAACTCACTATTACTCTACAAGGCAAAAGGGGGAAAACTTCCAAAATATAAACCCTCACGGATGTTTACACTCTGGTCTCTTTCTGGGGCTTGCCGCTGCCTTGCTAAACTACCTCTGCAGCGCCGCACCACCCAATCACCCGTTCATTTGTATTTTGTAAGTTTCTTTAGATGATTATCTTACATATTGCTTGATGTGCTACATCGACAGAGATGTTTTTAAAAGTATTGATAATGAAACTATTATGCAACATTTTCAGAATATGAAAACTCGTAGTATTGATTACCAAAGTTGCAGAAATGAACTATATAATATGTAATTAACTACTCCGTATAATTTATGTTATTCCCTTACTTTTTACCATCTTTATTACATTTGAAAATTTTATTATAAAGTAAGTTTAGTGTCTAGTGTGCCCCTGCTCTGACAAATCTCTGAGTCCGCCACTGTGACATATTCTTCCTCAGGATAATTCTCAAAATAGTTACTTATGTCAGAATTGCAGCCTTGCCAAGAAATCTGAATGGATTAATAATAAAGGAAAAGATTCAAAAAACTTATTTGAACTGTCAAAATGTAAGAAGTACGTATAAATACTTATCATCAAGAACTGGCCATGGCATAACTTCCACTAAAACTGCCTGGCAATACTATTGAAGCTTGGGCGGCTTCCATCACCCTTTCCATAACAAACTGACCCAAGACAAGTGTTTCAAGAATATTCCTCCAGTCCCAAGAAATCTTAACAAGTACACTAATTGCAAACAGTCCAAACGCTGCACCAGATGCCCCAATAGAAACTGCATTTCTAAGAAGAACACAATTGTATATGACATGCAGCAACATGTTTATATAAAAAATAAGAGAGGAGAATAAGTATAGCAGACGGAAACTTCGCTGGGCAGAGGCGTGAGGTGGATTTTCTGGGCGGGGACGTGAGGCGGCTATGCTGCGCGGAGGCGTGAGGCGGCTTTGCCGGGAGGAGGCGTGAGGCGGCTTTGTTGAGCGGAGATGTAAGGCGGCTTTGCTGCGCGGAGGCGTGAGGCGGCTTTGCTGGGTGGAGGCGTGAGGCGGCTTTGCTGAGTGGAGGTGTGAATAGGCTTTGCTAGATGTACGAACATATTATTTTGAATATTCTATTATTTATGTGCATATCTTTTCTTTCCTTTTGTATTTACCGTTAGGAGTAATTTTAGGAGTAGAAGTTTCCTTGTTTACTTTTAAGTCTATGTATAAATGATGTATCATATGGTAGTGCACAACAGGATGAATATACGTTTTGATATTTTCCCACTCTGCTTCGTCCTTATTTTGGTATCAGAGCCGGCAGCTTGATCCCTACGTTGTGCGCCTGAATTTCTTTACCGACGATCATGTCTAATTCACAGTCGTCGAACGTTCCAAAAAATGAGCGAAGGAAAGTGAACGATCCTGGTTCACCCTATTTCCTTCATAGCTTCGATATACCTGGCCTGAACATTTGTGGGATCACGCTTAGGGGAAAAGAAAATTACCGTGAATGGTCAATAGTCATGCGGAATGCGTTTCGGGCAAAATGGAAGCTCGGATTTCTCGATGGATCAATTACTATTTCAGAAGATAAATCTGGAATTGAGGACTGGTACACTGTAAACTCCATGGCGGTTGGATGGCTTATGACATCTATTGAACCGACGCTCCGTCATACAATTGCATACATGGACTCGGTCCATGAATTGTGGAAAGAAAAGATATGCACATAAATAATAGAATATTCAACATAATATGTTCGTACACTAGATGGTGGCGCGAGGCATCGGGGTGGCAGGGCCGAGGTGCTGTTAGCCGGAGGAGTGAGGCGGCTGTTGGTTGGAACTAGGAAAACAACGAAAATTAATAAATGGGGAAAGGGGCAAATAATTGAGTGAAGATAAGTTAAACACGGCATATTTCTAAACTGCATGCTAGCTAACACAAAAATACACGAGCAATAAAAAAGGGATTCAAAAACAATGAATAATAGAAAAATACATTATGGCAGAAAGTAACAAAGAATAGAACCCAAAACATTTTTTCATTAACAAACTGAAAATTATACAACAACAGCCTGCTTAACTTACACAATAAACTAAATTGACAACACTCATCATCAATTTTGCAAACTCATCATCAACATCATTCATAAAAATAATATTAAGGGAGGTAGTACACCATCAATTCAGCAAAATATTACAAATTAAAATACATTACTTGAAAATGAAATAAAAAACACTCCCACACTTCTCTTTCACCTCTCCTACCATCACTGCGCTGCAACTGATCTGCTTCCTCTACTACGGTTGCCTCCTCTTTCACTTCTGCCCCCTCTCCCTGTACTTGTACCTCTTGCACATTCAGTCCTTTGAACAATAAGATTTATTATGCCCTTTTTGCTTACAGTTTGGGCATGTCATTGAAGGCCCCAAATATCCGAAAATATTCTAAGTGTTTGGCTAACTTACAACTCAAAGGAATGGAGGAGAATGTATTATATTCCACTTGATAAAACATTACAATTGGTGGCCTTATATAGGCATTACAAGTGGAGTAAAATAATCCCTAGGAAATACAATTTACCTTTCCAAGAAGACCTTTCATCTTTCCAATAAAAGTAGGGAAAGATAATTTATGTTCCCTAGGAAGTAAACTAATTAAGATTAATTAATTAATCCCAACAAATTCCTCCCCTAATCTTAATTCTCTTCGGTCTCTCATTCCGAGTCCCAACTTGCAATGCTCAAAGGTTGCGATTGGCAATGCCTTTGTGAAGATGTCTGCTGCTTGATCCCGGCTCGCTACGTGAATTAGACTGACCTCTTTGTTCTTCACTTGCTCTCGGATGAAGTGGAATCGAACGTCAATATGCTTGCTCCTCTCATGGTGGACTGGATTCCTTGCAAGCTCTATTGCTGATTTGTTGTCAACACAAATCGTAGTCGGCTCCGTCTTCCCGAGCTCCAGCTCGGTCATCATCTTTCTCACCCAAACTGCGTGTCTTACACAGTATGATGTTGCGACATACTCTGCTTCACATGTTGACAAAGTTACAATCGGTTGCTTCTTTGATAACCAAGTGAAAGCTGTGTTTCCCAGATTGAAAACATAACCGGTGGTACTCTTTCGATCGTCTACATCTCCACACCAATCGCTATCAGAATACTCTATCATTTTGGGCTCGGCCGACCTCCCGTACAATAGCCCGTGCGTCTTCGTCCCTTGGATGTATCTTAGGATCCTCTTTATCGCCTTCCAGTGAGATTCCCTCGGGTCCTCCATGAACCGGCTGATAACCCCAACGCTGAAAGCCAGGTCCGGTCTCGTACAGGTTAAGTACCTAAGACACCCGACCATACTTCTATATAAGCCTGCGTCAGCTTGATTTCCTCCCCCAAACTTAGAAAGTTTGGTTCCAGCCTCCATTGGAGTCCTGACCGGGTTGCATTCCTCCATTTTGAACCTTTTCAGAATCTCCTTAGCATAGGCTTCTTGGGAAATAAATATTCCGTCTTCGGCTTGCTTCACCTCAAGGCCTAGGAAGTATTTTAATAGTCCCAAGTCTGTCATTTCAAATTCATTCTTCATCGCTTCCTTGAAATCTTTAACCATTTTTCCGTTGTCTCCCACAAAGATTAGGTCGTCCACATACAGGGTGACAAACAAGACTCCATTCTCATTCTTCTTCACGTAGAGTGCGTGCTCATATGGACATTGTAGAAAGCCACTCTGCTTGAAATATGTATCAATTCGAGTGTTCCATGCCCTTGGTGCCTGCTTCAACCCATACAGAGCTTTCTTTTGTTTCAGTACTTTGTTCTCGTTCCCGACTCGGACGTACCCGGCTGGTTGCTCAACATAAACTTCTTCTTCCAAAGTTCCGTTAAGGAACGCTGACTTTACATCCATCTGACCGATCGGCCACTTCATCTGGGCAGCATATGCAATCAGTAGTCGAATTGTATCCATCCGAGCTACTGGAGCAAATACCTCGTCATAGTCAATTCCAGCCTTTTGCTTGTAACCTTTTGCAACAAGCCGAGCTTTGTATCGCTCAATCATACCTTCAGCATTGCATTTCTTCTTATACACCCATTTGACTCCGATCGGCTTATGACCTCTCGGGAGATTGGTAAGTTCCCAGGTCTGATTCTTCTCAGTCGCTTTTATTTCTTCGTTCATGGCATCTCTCCATTTTTCATCGTGCTTGGCTTCTTCAAAAGTAATATCCTCTCCATCGGCTAGAAGACATACCATGTGAACCTCTGGAGTTGCTTCATATATGTCCTGTATGTTTCTGTACCTTTGCCGGCTCGTCCCTTCTTCTTCTTCCTCGTCCCCCGAGGTCGTCATAGATCCCGCCCCGATTGGTTCTGGTGTCATCCCGAGCGGGACTGGAATTGGGGTCCCGCCCGGGGTCTCTTCGTCATTTGAGGTCCCGTCCGGGACGTCCTCGTTATTTGAGGTCCCGTCCGGGACGTACTCCTTCTCTGTGTTCCAATCCCAGCTTCCTTTTTCATTTATCTCTACATCTCTGCTCACTGTGATCTTTTTTTCCTCGGGATCATATAGTCTGTATCCCTTTGTCTTCTCATCATAGCCAATGAAGACAAGCTTCTTGCTTTTGTCTTCCAATTTTGTCCGTCTCTGATCGGGCACATGTGCGTAAGAGATACTCCCAAACACCCTTAAGTGTGACACGATCGGCTTTTGACCACTCCATGCTTCTTGAGGTGTTAGATTTTCAAGATTTGAGTGCGGACACCTGTTCTGTACATACACCGCACATCGTACCGCCTCGGCCCAAAATTGCTTTGGCATATTTTTGCTCTTGAGCATGGATCTTACCATGTCCATAATGCTCCGGTTTTTTCGCTCGGCCACCCCGTTCTGTTGAGGCGAGTACGGGGCGGTAAGGAATCATCTAATTCCTTCCTCTTCACAAAACTTTGTAAAAGAGTCTGAAACGTATTCTCCCCCCCGGTCTGACCTCAACGCTTTCACCTTCAGCCCGATTGTCTTCTCCACCTCGGCTTTGAAATTTTTGAATGTTTTAAAGGCCTCCGGTTTTTCTTTTAGAAAATATACCCAAGTCTTCCTGGTGTAGTCATCAATAAAGGTGATAAAGTACCTTCGCCCACTGAAAGATGATGGCGTGATCGGCCCACAAATGTCCGTATGGACTGTCTCCAATGCTCCCTTGGCTCGGTACTTGGCAGTCTTCTGAAAGCTCGTCCGGGTGTGTTTCCCAAGTACGCAGCTTTCACAGAATTGCTTTGGAAAATCCATCTCGGGTAGTCCATGCACCAAGCCCTTTTTGCTCAGCTCGGCTAATCCTCCAAAGTTCAAATGTCCGAAACGTAGGTGCCATAATAGTGACTTGTCCGTCAGGTCGACTTTCAAGCACTTATGGTTTACGCTTCTCAAGTCCAACTTGTACATTCTGTTCTTGGCCATCTCTACCCGGGCGACGGCCCGGCCTCGTCTATCCTTCAAGTGTAGGTATCGACCACTTAGGTCGGCTGAATACCCTTTCTCCATAAGATGTCCCATGCTTATGATATTTGTCTTCATGCTCGGGACATAGAGTACGTTTTCAATCGTCCCCTCTTGTCCATTCTTTTGCAGAAATTTAACCTTTCCTCGGCCTTTGATAACTACTTTTGATGTATCTCCAAAAGATACATTTCCTCCCTCAGCCTCCTTCAACTCAGTGAATAAATGTTTATAACCACTCATGTGGTTGCTCGCCCCGGTATCCAAGTACCACGTAGTGTCGTCTATTAAGCTTCCTTCTTTGTGTGCTAGTAAGAGCACTCCTTCCTCATCTCCATCATCATCCTCATGCTCAGCAACATTTAGATTCTCCTCCGGTTGTGGTTTCGACCAACAGTCTCTTGCGAAATGTCCCCGTTTCCCGCAATTGTAGCATTCCCCATCGGGTCTGCCTCCCCGACCGCCTCGGGCAGCTCCTCTGCCTCGACCTCTCCAGGTCGGGCGATGTTGGTCCTCCCGGTTCTGGTGGGTATTCTCCTCTCGGTTGTAGTCTCCTCTTCCTTGGCCCCGACCACGGAAGTGACCTCGGCCTCGGCCTCGGCCTCTCGGTTGATGGGCATACATTGCCTTCTCCTCTACCACCACAGTTTGTAATGCCTCTTCAAGCGATTCTAGCCGCTTCATCTTTCTTTGTTCATGTGCCTCCAACGACCCCGACAGGTCGTCAATGGTAAGCGTCTCAATATTTCTAGCTTCTTCGATTGCGCATACCACGTTCTCGAATTTGTCCGTAAGTGTTCGTAGAATTTTTTCTACTATCCGACTCTCACTTACGGTTTCACCATTTCTCTTCATATGGTTTGCTATGGTCATCACCCGATTAATGTATTCGGTGACCTTCTCGTTCTCTTTCATCTGCATAGTCTCCAACTCTCCTCGTAGAGTTTGCAACCTCACTTGCTTTACTCTTTCCCCTCCTTTGAATACTCTTTCGATGATGTCCCAAGCTTCTTTTGAAGTTTCGGCATCGGCTATCTTCTCGTGGATGGTGTCATCCACTGCTTGAAGCAACCAAAACAGTGCCGTTTGGTCCTTCTTTTGTGCTCCTTCGAGTTCCACTTGTTGGGCAACCGTCAAGACGGTTCCTTCCTTCGGTGTTGTGTAGCCATTATCGACAACATCCCATACTCCTTGTGACTTCAACAGTGCTCTCATTTGAGCATTCCATCGGTCTAAGTTTGCTTTCTTCAATTGAGGTAGTTGGCCGAACATGGTGGCTGCCATCTTCTTCTTCAACAGTGGCTCTGATACCAATTTGAAGGCCCCAAATATCCGAAAATATTCTAAGTGTTTGGCTAACTTACAACTCAAAG